AGAAAGTTGGCAATAACTCAGTAGGCAAATCTGAAACTATTATAAATAAGTTAAGCAGTGCTGAAAACCCCTTGAACATACAATGGAGTAAGATTGGTAAAATGAAAAAGTGTTTTTGGGAGTGGACACTTATTTGCAATGGCAGTAAGATGCACTTTGAGAAACCTTATGGGCTTCATTTAGTGAGCCAAAGTCGGTTTTAGGCGCTTTTGGCATATTTGACCTATCCAGTTCCTGATGCAAAGTTGCTGGTCGGGTAGCTCAGAAGAGCGCTACTTTGTCGTACCAACGGCATTGAGCCAATTTTTTTGAGTGAAAGCGCCAACCTGTAGCCTTCCATCAGACTAATTATAACCCTTGCCTGGTTCAAGACCGGTTTTCCAACCTTTATTTAGCCAGAAAAAAAAACAGCCGAATGCTACTTGCAGTGCCAGATGGCACAGTTTTTGAGCTACCTGTCTAATGCTCCAAAACAGAGGAACGGGTATTTTAAATAAGCTGGAAGGCTCTCAGAACAGCTCTAGAACTCATGCAAAAAACCCTTCGCAGTTGCAAAATTGCTTTATGATTTTAAAAAAATTCTGAGTTAGAAGAGCAGAGTACACGAAAAAAAAAACCATTTATGACGTAGAATGTACTTAGAAATGAAACGAGAAATAACTTCTGGGGAACGTTTAGAGCTTTCAGTGTGAAATTTTTATAAGAGTAATGCAGAAAATAGCGGAGTGTTGGGGTTTAGGCAAACAACTTTCTCGACTATGCCTAGTTGTCGAATTAGTTTGAAGACAAAGTCCCTTATGAATAAATTTGTACGTATTTTTTCCTTTTATTATTGATTCATTTATCAATTGGTATAGTAAAACTACAAATAAAACACACAATTCCTCACGTGTCCGTCTTGTTTCTCTGTAAATTATTGTTAGAAGTGTCATTTTAGAATGAGACGTTATACCAAAGGAGAGGTTTAGGCGTCTTCCTAAATTTCTTTTTCAAAAATTATTCATTTTATAAGGGGGGTCCCAAATTTTATAGAAATAAAATTCACTTATTTTTTCATTAAAAAAAAAAAAAGTTGAAGTAGTTAATTGAGCGCCAAGAAAAGATTTAAAGTTTGAGGGCTAACTGTCAGCAAACCATTCAAAAGCTGACTGCATCATTCGTCTTTAAGGAGTATACAAAGAGTAAATAAAAATGTCGTTTTACCTAAAAAAAAAAGCGTTACAGAGAGCGAGTCGTTTAGAGTTCGCATCTCTCGAAAACCTTACCATCTTGCGGCAAAATTCCCCTTCTTCTGCTTACTTCACTAGCATTCCGTAAAAAATTTTCAAAAGGTAAAACGTAGAAGAGGCTCTTGTACAAAAATGTTTCACTTTAGTAGCATCTCGCTTTGATTTTAGTTGCAAAAAACTGCGGTTCTGCAGAACTTAGATTTCTTTAAAAAATGCTCAAAATTTTAAAGTTTGCATGGAACTTGTGGCTCACTGTTAAGCCTGTAAATGGCTGAAATAAAAAGTTAGTGATGTCTAGCAGAGGCAAGTAGGCATTTATAAGTATAGGCATTAGAAGCAGCAGCAGTGGACCAAATTTGATGAAATGAGGGATCCTTTTTCATCTATTTCCTCGTTATTATACTTGGCATGAATGTAGTCCGCTAAATTACGTTAGCTTAAGCTAATCTAGACTAACGTAATCAGATAGTTGACATTTCTTGGGTTTTTGTCAGTTGCTGGTCATGAGTGTGTTGGGAGGAAAGGTAATGGAATCTTGATGTGATGTGAGAAATTAATCGCTTTTCCAAACTTTCATTCAAGAGGTTTCGTACTGATGCTTCCGGAATTTTTTACTGCGTCTTACTGATTTTAATTGTGTGGTGGCAAGGTCATATAATTAATTTGATTTTTTTGTTTCAAATCTTCTTTCTCTTTGGTTCTTGTTGTAGGTGTTGCTAAAGAAATGTAAGGGAAGTCACATCTTTGATGGATATTTACTGACTAATTTGGTTAATTTTCTAACCGAATTTTCTGCAAGTTCTGTACGACTATTCCGCTACATGGGGTCATTTGCCGGTAAGCTCACTAATTCGAATTAAAGACTCTGAGTGTAAGAAACATAGTGATTTGAGGCTGTTTTACTTAGACACAAGAAAAGCAAATATTGTTGCTATTTTTGAAGGATACTAATTTGACATTACGCAAACAGTCGATTTCACATTTAAAGTTTTTCATTCAAGGAGTATAGTTTTCTTATTAGTTGCCATTTACAGATATTTCAGCATTTTTACTACTTTCAATTTTAGTGTTTAAACTTTACAGTGGATTACTTGAGACAGAATCCCAGTTATCTCGAATAAGGGAATCTTATTTGCAGAAGGTTAGCAGTTATCTCGTATATACTTGTGTGCTGAAGGTTGTAATTTTTAAAGTGGTGTCTTATTTTGATCCTTAAGATACTCTTTTGATTGATTGGAGCTGCTTCACCCTCTTCCGAAATTACTCTTTGTTTCGCACTTTATTACGAATAAGTGATTGATTTAAAGTTGGAATAGATCACAGCTCTTTTGAGATTAAGAAGCAGTAAATTTATTTTATATTTCCCCCTAGTAGAAATTACACAAATGTTATCACAGCTACGAAGCAAATCGCTTTTGTTTTTTATTGATTTCGTGACGAGTAATCAAGCTAAACTTGATATAGCAGATCCTGTGGGGCAACGGGCTCTCAAAAAAGGCGGAAGCAACACAAGTTCCTGATTTCTTCAAAAATTTCACGAATTTTAGAAAATATCTGAGATATTACAATTGCTTCAAAGAAAATTTTTAAAGAAAATTGCTTTGGAACAGTAGGATGTCACTGCATTTTGCTTTCAACCATCTTTTTAAAAAAAATAACTTATGGAAAAAATTAGGGGTATGGGTCCTGCATGAAGTTAATGAGACGCAGAGTTGACGGCAATGTCCACCATGATTTTTGACCGCTGTAGAAACGTTTTTTGTCTAACCCATTTGCGTGTTTTGGCTGGAAATGAGACTTAGCAAAACGGAGTAGTTGTCAGTTTAATTTGGCATGCGGTATTTGGTTGAATACATTACCTAGAACTTTGTGGTGAGAATGAGGTAATGAGCCTTACTTAGCGACTCACTTCCTGCGTTACTTTCGCTATCTCTATGTTCCGCCTAACTAGTAAATTTCGCGCTCAGTTGTTAAGGTGAGAAGTAATTTTTTTTTTGTTGCTAACATGAAAATCCTCAGTAATTTCCATCTATTTGGGATTGGTCAGATAAATGATATCGCATCTTTTTTAGGTGAGCCGGAGCAAAAGAAGAGCTTCCCAGAACGGAAGCGATAAAAGTGTCGGGACCCTCATTTCTAAAAAGAAATTGGTTTGAATATTCTTTTATCAAAACTTGGAAGTTTATTTAAAATACGAAGTTCTTTAATTGATTTCAGGTAGACGGGAGATTAACTGTACTTAAGGATTGTCTTGATGGAATATTCAAAAGTATCTTCATCAACAGATGGAGGTGACTTTTTTTTTACATTCTGGAGGAAAGCTGCTCTTTCGGTTTGAAAACCTTTTAAGTAGCCATTGTTAAAACTCATAGCATTCTGAGTGGGCTTTTTTCTTTGGAGGAGTTTTGGTTCTTTTGTTAAGAACGCTGCAGTAATTTGAAGGTTTTTTTTGAAATGATTAAAAGTGAGGAAATGAGTTGATGGTCGGTATTTTTTGGCAGTTTTTTATACATTTGCACTGATATCGAAAAAGAATTGTTGTATAGAAATGGCTTTAAAATATTTTTCAAAACTATTTGACTGAATGACATTCTTACTGTTCAAAAGAGTTTTTCATAAAAATTAAAGTTGATTGGTTCAGAGACGTTGCATCTGAAGTCCGGGCTTTATGCATTGATGAGCTTGCGCAATGGGTTTCACTTATGCCATACAAATATCTTGATGAAAGTTTTATGGATTTTTTTATTTGCGGATTAGCCGATAAAGTAAGACCAGTTTTACGGTAATAGAACTGATATCTCTAGGCAAAGTTTTCAATTTTTTTCTTGAAATATTTTTTCATGGTAGGCTTCGGCAGTTCGTTCGAGCAGTCTCTCGGCCTTAATACTCTTCTTCGTTCAAAATATTGTGCCTTCCGGTGTTAGACGCTACATTCTGAAAGAAAAACAAAGGTTTTTTGAGAGCTTGTATGACAAGGACGTTAACGTTGCCACATTAGCATCTTGTTTAATGGTAGAAATTGCACGGTGTGTTATCTTTTGTATCATTTCTGCTGCTTTCTGAAGGCACTTGGTATTAGCTGGACGCATGCTTTAATGTGAACATTTAAGTTGGCAGGTTGACTATGCAAAAGGTTTTATTTGCAGGGGAGGCTTTGAAACTTTTGAAACATCTGAAGGCGAAAAGTTCGAGGATTTTGTTTTCAGCAATAACTGGGAGCTTGCAGTAAGTGCCGGGAAGTATTTGATCATGAAAGTGAGTTCGTTTTTCTTGCAAGTCACTTAAATTTTTGCGGTGGTTTTCATAATCTATTACGTCGCATTTTGCCTCAGTGCGACCCAAAATAGACAATATAGTGAGGCATTGATCTTTTTTCATAAGACTTTTATTAGATTTTAGCTTACAAACGGTGTGGATATTAAAAAATTCAACGGGTTCGAAGAAGATTTTGCTGATGATTATTTGAGAGGATTGATAGTTGGCATCACAAAATTTTATCAAAGTTCTAAGGTATTTTTTGTATGCGCTTTGGGAACATTGAGGATTTTCATCAAAAAATAAATTCTACAGCTGTTGAACAAATGAGCGTCTCATTTAATTTTGTATACTTGCATTTAATAAGATGTCTTCATGCAAATAACATGAATTTAAGTATCACGACAGGGCCGGCTTTTTGGTTGATGCTATTACTGGTTCCCACAAAGTGCTGCGAAAACTTGACTTAATGGCTGAAATACTACTTGGATCTGAAGGTTTGTGCTGTCATCTGGTGCTTCTAGAAAACCTTGGGTGGAGCTTGCTAAAATACACTTTCAATTGTTTCTGATGATTTGGTTTTTTAAAGCTGCATTGCTTTCTCGGAAATTGTAGTTTGGGGCTCTACTGGCAAAAACAAATTTTGGTTTGCATAGAATACTTCAGTAATGAAAAATTCCTTTATAATTTCAGGTTTTTGAATAATTTAGCTGGTATTTTTTTCTTGAAACACTTTTTATTGCATCTTTTTGAAACCATTTTCAAATCTACTTCAGTTCGTAGTATAATGAGGCGATCAGGTGAAGGGTGGTTTCCTAAGTTACAGTATTATTATAAATAGTTTCAAATAACCTGTGTGAATTTGTTCACCTTCTACAGGGATGACTTGCAAGAATATGCGTTTGCCTTATTTTTCAATTTCAAGTTTTTAGATGAAACGGTAAGAAGTTAGTTTTTGTCCGGTTTTCCTTCTGTTGACTTTAGCTGTCACTAATGGCTTTTCTTGGTTTTTTAGCAGAGGGATATGAAGATGCCCTAATTGAGATAATGAGCTTTAGTGCTAAACAGTGTTATGCGGGGGTGAAAATAGTGCGCTCCGAAAGTCGGGTTACCTGTGTGAAGCAAATCTCAGCAGCAGCGCCTGATAAAGAATGCAGCTGTAATTTAGCTACACTATTTTCTTATTTGTCGAGGTTGCTATGCCGGGTAAAAATAATAATTTTTTCTAGCGTTTTTCATATCTTTCCGGACAATAGTATTTTGTATTGTTGTAATTTGGAATTGCTACTCTAGTAATTTGATAACTAGAATTGTTTATGTTTTTTAATGTTGGCTTCGTTAACAGTCGTAATTTTTTTGACACTTTTATAAATACAATTTTTGCAGTACAGCAACAATGACAAAAATTTGGTAAAATTATTGTCTGTTCTTCTATGTTTCAAAGACGATGGACAAATTAGTAAAGAAGTTAATGACGAGGTATGCTCGAAAAAAAAAAAACTTTCAAAGTTTTTTTTCTTGCGGCAGACATAATCGAAACTGTATAGCGTTTAGCCTTTAAGGTACTTTCCGATTTATTTGCCTCGCTCAAAGAAATTATATTGGGTTACTGTCAAATCGATGTTATGGAAGCTGTGGCAGGCGTATTCTTTCGCTATAAGCGAGTGAGTTGTTTGAGTTGAAAAGCTGTGTTTTCTGCCTGGACAACAGTTTTTGTCGTCTTTAGAATCAAGGTTCGTGGCTGAACAGTAACTGTAATAGAAGCATTTTTGTAATGAGAGTGTAATTGGAAACATGGAGTGCTTGATGCAGGTATATTTTTCAGTAAGGTAAATGGGGGTGTTAAGGGGTTGCCCATTGATATTTGCCTTTTAATAGTGATCAATAGGGTCTATACCTCAGGTGTGGCTTTGCACGTCAACACAATACTGTTCTGCCAATGGACTACTGAATGTCTTTGCTCAATACTGGTTGAAGTTCACATTATTTTGATTCTACTGTAGGAGACAAAATCAAGATTTCTTCTTTTAGCTGCCCAGTGTAAGTGCGGAAATGAAGACAATATGTGGAAAAATAATGTCTGAAGTTGAACAGCATTTATTTTCTATGGCCAACGAAATTAGCTGCAGAGATGGCGATGAAGTTTTACTTTCTTTGTTGGAGAAATGTGTGGTATTAGGAAGGTCTGTAAAGATATGCTGTTTTAACAACTATTTTTATCAATTTACCGGATTTTTTAGTTTTAACAGAAATTTTTGTATGTTAATGACTCTGTAATCTTTCAATGCAAGTTTAAAATCTGTCGTTTAATTGTTATGAGAGCATCTCCAATTATTTTTGGAGCTTAAAAACATTAAACTTCTGTTTTAGTCTTGTGGATATACGAATCTATGGTCTCTGGTTTTCTTCAAAGAAGTGTACAGAAAATTTTGTCAAAAGTTTACCAGATAGAATGTATATCAAAATACTGGAAATGCAGTTTGCAATCCTCTGTTGGGAACTGAAAAGTTTATTTTACCACAGTATCGGACGAGGTGAGAAAAACAAGGTAAACTTTGCATGACTTCTTACGAAATTTGGCAATTAGGCAATATTCGCCTCTCTGTAGAGTTCTTTTTTTGATTTTTATCCAACACCTTTTACTTACACATAATACTTCATATTTCTGAGTATTATGTTTTTTATTCAAGTAAAGAGTTTTTTTACTTTTTTTAAGCTAGACGTGTCAAGTGAGTTTTCTTACTTTAATTGAAGACAAATTTCGCGGCTATCTTCCTTCGATAGCCCGTTAAAAGTTTGGTGTCAGTGAAGAATTTTTTGGTTTATAGAATTCAATAGCTAGGTATTGACCATAAAATTATAAAATTTGACGGATTAAACCTTGTCACCTAAGAAGTTGATGTTGCAAGGGATTGGTGTCTTGTTCAAAGTGGTGCTTTAAAGAAATTATTTTATAAAGTACAAGGTTTGGAAAAGTTATTGACTAAGGGTACTGAGACTCTAGCAGCATGAGGTACACGAACCTGGCTCGTATGCAGGACTGTATCGTTTTCAACCAATTAGTTTCCCAAGATAAAAGTATGTGGCCTACTTTTTGAGCTACTTTTTATTGACAGTGAATTTTCCAAAGTCTGAGAAAGATTGTTTAAGCAATTGAAGAATATCGATTGCTGGATGCAGGTAATCTTGTCTTTTATTCAGCAATAAAAGTTTGTATATCGGCCAAAAGTATTAGATGTAAATTGATTTCTGTGTCCGTATTGGGCTTAAAACGCAATTTTTAGTGCAGAAATTAATTTCAGGCTTGGAAAGTAATAGAGGAACATGGGGACAATTTTTTACGGTCGGTTCATGATCTTTCTTCTAGAAGACCACAGTGCATTTGTAAAGTAAGAGTATTTTAAGTTTTTCTGTGTAAGGGTCTGGTTAAAGTTTTGATTTTACTGCTTTTTTTAATTGATTTTTACGGTTTTCCTTCTTGGAGAATTTGTTATTTTAACGAGTTGACGACAGTGTAGCTTTCTGATGCTTGTTGTTGTGCGAGACTTCTGCATTTTTTGAACTTTTTTGTGATTTGACCAAGCATTCTTACGACACTGGGTTCTTCAAAAATCATTTAATATAATCACTGGCCTCAGAAAACTTAGGATTAAGCCTTGACATTTTGTAGCTTTTACAAACCATTTTTATTCATGATTTCAAGTGACTAATGGTGGGAAGTTTGGAAGTTACTTTTTGAGACAACTTAGTTACAATGCATTTTTCAATAACGGGATAACATGTTAATGTGAATTAGTGTTTGAAGTGTTCCTCATACTTTTTGAACTTTTCGCCTTTTTTCCCTCCAGTTTTCACTGTCTGCTTTATACCTTCTTTATTAACCCAGGAATGAGCGAATTTACAGAACAACTCTAGGAGTTGTGCTATTTGTTCCTAATAAAACATTCTCTCAAGCCGGTATAGTGTTTAGAGTCATTTTTAAATTCCACTCTATCTTCCTGTCATTCAAGGCCTGTACCATCTCATAAAATCCTCCATCTCGACTGCCCTAACCTTTTCCGTAACCCACTATGAGAAGCACTGGATTAGACGATTATTAAAGGAGCATGTGTGAATTCTAAAGGTTTTCTACAGATATACGAGTTAGAGAACTTGCGGAGGAGTTGAGTATTGAAAAAGTTTTGAAGGATGACGAAATCACACTCAAGTTGAATAGTTGTTGTTAAGCCTCGTCATACTCCATAAAGGCTCTGTGCCAAGTTCAAATTCACAGATGGTCACAAAAAGAGAATAGTTGCATTGCGGTGTTCGTTGCAAATCTGAAGTCTCTCCCAAGTTTTATGTCGACTCATTCTTCTGTCCCAGTCACGTATTGTGGGCCAGTTACTCAGCAATGTTGGAGCGAAAAGCGTTAGGTCTGTTGTTGAACGTAGTCTCAGCTTTGAGCATTATAGAGCTTTAGTTTTTTAATCAAGAGACAATGTGGAGCAATTTGGTCGCACTTCGCCGGCTAACCATGAAATTGGAGGAGGAGGAGGGCGCTTTTAGAGAAATTCAAGTTCCGCCGCTTCCCTTCCCGAGCTTTTTAGCTCCAAATTTCTTTTTACAGAACCCACATGAAGTACTGTATGTATTCGGAAAGCTTAAAATCTCGGACATATAAAAGTAAGACCTGAGCCGTATTTTGTCACGATAGCACGGAATTGTGTCGGAGGGTTGTAGCCAGCTTTGACGGCGTTTTAATCTTGCTTTTGCTGGTGGAAAGCAAACTGTGAATTATTAAGCCACATATACTGCTGCTAGCACATTTTAAGCTCTAACAGTATTTGTTTTATCAGTAAAGAAGAAAATCGTCAATTCCAGTTAAAGTCGTTGTTTTTAAAGTACTGATATGATACTGTTTGTAGAGCGCTCTGTGTTTCTGAAAACGCAATTTTTGCTCTGTTTCGCAGGAACTTACTCTTTAGATTTATGTAGTTGTTTTTAAAGTCTGGAAGGATCACAAAAATTGACCTCTACTGTTATCGGACTGAATGGCCCAAAATTTACAGTGAGATTGAAATATACAATTTTTTAACAGAATGACCCAGAAGAACTATGAACTTTAGGTTTGGTAGACACCGGTATTGTAAGGAGGTTTGAAATATGGTAAAATATACCATGCGTTTTAAAAGCTGCAGCACAGAGGCTCTGAATAGTATTTGTTGGTGTGCATCAAATTTTGACTTTCTTCGTCAGTCTGTGGTTTATATGACAGTCTTGGGCGTAGCAGAGAAGATTGATTATAGAAGTAAGGATAATTAGGAGGTGAGGCGGAAGATCTAGTTTATAAGCTGTCACTGCGAGTGCATTATTGTCAGTGTGTTAAAAATCTGAAAGTGCTTGGAATTTTTTGACCTTGTATAAATAAATGAAATTAGTTCATTGTTACCACCTGTCATATCTTTACGGATCTGGAGCTGTGCTGCTGTTGAGAACTTTTAATTCATTTGCCTTAAATTTAGGCTCTGCCGCTGTTGATTGACTGGTTTACACTTTACCGTGAGTACCGTTCAGAAACAGTAGGAAGTAGTTGTGAGAAACTAAAGAATTCTGTATGTGGACTTTTTCATGGTACCTTTTTAAATTTATTTTAACACTTAGACGCGTCCTTGTTGCATTATTATTGTATTTTCGTTTTAATATTACGGAAATATGGGAGCTCGGTAGTTTTTCTATGAGTCTTTTGTCTAAGCTTTTTTTTGACTTTGATATGGTAATGATTTTTCAGATAGCAAATGGTACTAGTATTTGCATAAGTGATTAAAGTTACGTTTTGTAGGCTTGTTTGATGCGGACATTGGATCTTTCGACATGTTGGAAGTAATTGCTAGTTTTGGTAATTTGTTTCTAAACGGATATTTGAGCACAGTCGATTTTTGGGTTCTACTAGATGTTTATAGGAAGGTATGTAGGCTTACATTTTACTGCCTTTTAAAGCGAGATTTTTAATGGCGGGTTGTTCAAGGATATATTATACTAAGTACTGTGTTAGACTTTCCAATTTGAGCTGAGGAGAAAGAAGCTTCAATTTTTTTAGGTTGGTAAGAAAGCAAAAGAATTTCTTCATTCTCTCATGTTAAAACTTTCAAAAAGTGACCACTTTGGAATCGCCAAGGCTATGAGTCAAGTATTAATTTACAGTTTTCTCAAGGTAAGCTTAGAGTTCCCTCGGTGTGTAATGATCGGATAACTTTGGCTAACATTTTTAGTAAAGAATAGCACTGGTTTTATATGAATGCAGGATTTGAAAAAATTAGTTATGGAACACTATTGTGCCTGCCTCTAAAGCACTTGATTGTTATTTATTTTAATATGGTGTATATTTTAAAAATAAGGGACTGGAGTCTTCATGTAGGATGACTTCAAACCTAATCAGACCAAATCTCCTGATGCTGTTTTCAGCAGATTTGCAGATAAGCCGTTTGCTTATGATACTTGGTGGTATTTAAGATGAGTGATTATTTAAATAACGTTTTTCAGCACATCTTTTCTATAGCAAAACTTTACTGCCTAACTAGTTTTTGTTCATTTCAGTTTCCAGTTGCAGAGGACGAATATATTTCTCAAGTCGCAGAAGGGTTTATACAATTTTTGAAGAGGGAGGTTCACAGAAGGACAATGCCTGAGATGGTTAATCTTATCATATGGTACAGTTGGTGCTGTTTGTCATTCTCTTAAGTTAATGACCAGATGACCTGCAAAACCGCTCACGAAAGGGTAAATCTGCAGCGAATTTTTGCATACGGAAGGATTATAACTCATAGATGACTTTAAAAAACACAATTGCAGAAGATTTTGTTATTTCAGCAAGAATTCCTCATAGTATTCAATCAATAGTTACTAACTGACTAATTGTTGCAGTATTATTTGTCAACTTAAAATGCGAGATGAGTGTTCTAAAAAATAATTTGACATTCGGAAGTTATTTTTTCAGCTACGGTATAATGGCTTACAAGTACCGCATTTTTGGCTGTTAGTAAGGTCTTTTACACTGTGTCTTTGCTGACAAGTTTATAGAATTAAATAGAAGCGGCAGGCAATGTCGGATAGTTTGATTACTTCTGCTTCAAAAGTTGTCGTTTGTTGTGTAGGACATCTTCGTAAACTTTTTAAACCTTATTCTTTTCAGTGATGGGATTCTTTTCATTTTTAAGAAGATAGATGAACGTGCTGAATTTTTCCATGTGCTTACAAAATTTACAGCTCTGCTTTCTTTGACCCATAAGCAAAAAGTGTATGTTTTACTACGTTTGTTTCGGCAAAATTTTAATAGAGCAAACGTTATTTTATTTTTTTTGAATTACAGTATTTTACAGTGATGCTGTCGTGCACGGAACTCAACCCTCTAAGAGACAGTTGGTTTTTCTCTATAACCCTTTAATTTTGGTAAACCTTCTGATTTGTAGTGCAGATTTTCTTGGGGACATCAGTGGAGGAGTCGTTCTAACGCATGCTGATTACAAATTATTCAAGCAACGTTTGGAGGAAAACAATTTGTAATTTCGATTCTGTTTCTTTTGTAAGTTGCTGGTTTTTTTGTTCAGAAAGAATTTATCATTTACCATTTTTAACCACAAATCTATCTTTTACTTTTTAATTTTCAGTAGTTTTGGCGGAAGGTAGGTTTCTTATCTCGCAGTCACTAAACAAATTGTGGTTCGTTTTTACTCTATCCTGTATTCTGTGCGTGAGCAGTGGGGTAGTCCAGATCCAGGAAACATTCATCAACACGGCAGCCTGTCTTTGGTCTCTTACTTGTTTTAATTATAGGGTTTAAACAAGTTATTGCTTCATGTAAAACTATCACTTTTTATCTTATTGCTTATCTGTGTAATGGTCGTTGTGTAATAAAAATTTCAATGATCGCTCGTGCTGCAATTCGTGCTCTTATTGTGCGGTTTTGGGAAATCTCGTTCTCCTCTGCCATTATCGTCGTATAATTCAACATGCCTTGGCTAGACGGAACTTTGTCGCGTTCAGACGATGGATGTTAGCACTTGAGACAATGCTTGGGTTCCTTCTTATGAAGAACAACAGTGTTGTGTTTTAATACTTCATGACTGGGACGGTTTTTTACGCTTTCAATTTTGAAATGTTACACACAGCTGGTCAGACACCGGAGTGGAGCTGTATGCTTGTGGGCTGTAAGGGTTAGGGTCGCTGGGCCGCTGTTTGAGAGGTGGTAGGCTTTTTTAAAAGGTAGACAAAAATTATTGTTTCTTGAAGCGTTATGGCAACAGCAGGCATTGCGATCAGAAGATGACTGTGGTGAACCAGAATTCTGGGTGAGCGGTATTTTTCGTTTCCAAGATTGTCTGTAAGGTTACAAAAAGCTTTCTTTACAAAAAGTTCAAAGTATACAAAGGATTAAATCGGAAGTGTATCCGTACAATTTGAAAGAAAAAATAAACAGAACAGTGCGTGATTGGTTACACATTAAGGCACGAAAGCATGCTAAATTTAAAGATCTCAAAAATTTAAATAGATAATGTCGTTTCCAAAAAGAATTTACAAATTACAGTTTGTAAAGTGTTGAGGCGACAGAACGTTTTTAATATGGAACAGGAATATTCATTGTAGTTCTGTTTCTGAGGTTGTCAGTATAATTATAACTAAAGCAAATAAAGGTTGGTGCGACTGAGCCGCGTAAACCTTTTCTATTACGCACAATTTGTTAAAACCATTACAGTATAGGGAGTTTGAATTGTTTTTTTTTTTAACAGCTGTCTTTTGTTTTTTTCAGTAAGTGGTTGAGTTGGAAATTTTACTTATTTTGAAAGCTACTTAAAAGCTTTTACATTAGCAATAAATTTGCATATAGTCTTCTTTCTGATCTATAACTTCAGTTCATTTTGCACTGTAATTTGTTCGGGCGGATCAACTGTAAACGTGTTTCTTTGTACCTCGCTTTATTTTCAAAAGAAAAAAGTTTAAATTCCACAGCCTATTCTTCTCATAAGCTACAATTTGTACAAATGTTTTGTTAAAAATGGCTGTTCTTAAAATATGCGGCGAATCGACAATGACAATCCAATTGATATACGTGCACTGATTGAAAAACTGTTAGTCAGATTATTTTAGAGAAATAAGAGCAGATTTGTTTAGAAACATCCAAAAGCAGTAAATTTTTTGCAGTGGAGCCTCGGTAGGAAAAGTGAGTACGGTGCTGTACTGTTTAGAACTTCAGCGGCAAATTCTTGACAGAAAAGTTGCGATTGGAAAAGGCTCTGATTTTTCCGTGGGCATCTTTCTTGATCATCAACACCTTACGGTCATTATGATAGGGGTGAAAGGTTTAACATCATTGCCAGCCGGAAGTGAGCATCTATTAAGCAAGCTCAAACATCACACGTAACCAACTGCGCTAATGTTACCAGCGTAAGTACTCTTTTGTTGCACTTTAAAATGCAGTGGTTATTTGAATTCTTAAGTGCCTGTAGATGCTCTGACCAAGTACTGCCGATATTGCTATTATATTTAGGATTTCCTCGTATTGTCCTGTTTTTAAAATTCAAATTGCTTTTGAGACATATTTTAGTTAACAAAATTTGTGCACATTTAAGCAAAATCAAACTATAAGCTTCCCATGTCCAAGTAAAAAATAATTTTTTGCTAAACTGCCAGAATTCATTCGTATGTTTGCAAATTGCTAGCTTGTAGACAGTGCAACAATTGATGTGGGTTACTGATTCTTCAGGAAATTTGAACATCGCTTACAATAACAACTTTTCATTGCAAGTTTTACGTAGTTTATCGGTACACAAAAAAATTGCAATGAGAAGTAGTTATTGGAAGCGATGTTCAAATTTCCTGAAGAATTAGTAACCCACATCAATTGCCGCACTGTCTATAAGCTAGGCTCCTAATTACTGTTATTTTTGCAGTGAATCATTAACATTTCAATTAATGTTTTTCCTCAAGCAGAAGTAATAGTATTATCAGCGGTTAATTACGTTTTAGATATTGTCGTCTGTAATCAGACCTGAGGAATAGATATGATCTTATAGTCTTTTAAACATCTTGATCTATCCAAAGCTTATTATGCTGTCAACCGATGACTTACTGTTGTTGTTTATTAGTGCTAATGTTTCCAAACACGAAGAAAAACATCGTTGAGTGGAACAGTGACAGCATAAAACAACCCTTGGCTTCCACATATTTCGGCAGTTTGACAGTCAAAATTAGTTATAGTCAATGAAACATTTGAAAAACGATAGCTGGGAATAAAGATGAAAGCTTTTTTTCTTGCAAAAAACCATCCAAGTCATTTTTTTAATCATAATCTTTTATTTTAAGTTTTTTTCAATTATTTGGTTTTTTGATGAAAATTACTAAAAGAAGATTTTTTTTCAATTATATTTTCCTCTCGTTTTTCAGTCGTAGTTTTTTAAATGTTTCATTCATTGACACTAATGATGACTGATAATCTGTGGAGATTTAGAAGGATGAAGAGCTGTTTTAGGCTGTAAATGTTTCACCTTTTCAGCGGTATTTTTCTTTGTTTAACAACTTTATTTTAGAAGAATTATTTCTTGAATATATAATTGTGTTTTCTTTCTTCGCATAATGCCGTTTATAAAGTTGATTCATAATTTGACATTACATCTTATAACTGAAGAAGCAGTTTTTCTGAAATTAGATATTCATAACACCTAACTATAGTATTTTCAGGTTTTTTTTATGTATATATATTTTTTGATGATAAACTTGTCTCTCCTGTTTTTTGTAAGTAAAATGAATTTTTAGGTTACCAACTGGGATTCGATTAAACTGTATAGTAATGATTGAAAATACATCAACTGCTCCGCTGCAGTATGAGGTTATACTTTCAAAATTTTTTACAATACTTTTACAAATTGAGTTTGTAGGTATATGAAATAAAGAAGGAATTTGTCTATTTATGGATATATACAAAGTTTTTCTTTTGCTCTGCTTACAGACAAAGTAAGTGATGAGTGGTTAAATTAGTTAATTTAGGGATGAAAAAATTAGGGCTATTTCTTCATTTATTTTTTTTTTTAATTACTAACTGTATACCGAGTTGATTGTGAAATTTAAGGTTAATATTAACTTCTACAGTTACATCAGCAGTTTTTTGTAGTAACTGTTTTACCGCAAACAGTTTAGAGCTCATTTACTGTAAGAAAATCACCGTCTGCTGAAGTCAGGTGCATCTTTTTGTTGAGCTACTAAAATTATATCTATGTTGTGTTTATTCATCATAACATCGCCAATTTATTTATGCAGATTACTGATTGATGTTACGATGTTTTGAAACTCTGAAAACTGATTCCGCACTAAATGCTTCTTAGTGTTGTCGTTTTATGCTTTATGTTGTCCTCAGGTTTTGAAACGCCTGAGAATAACTGCCAACAGACAGAGGCTGGAAAGAGTAAGGTGTAGCGGTTAAAAAACAGCTAACAAAACTCAAAGAAGTTGCCTTGAAATAGTTTTTTGATAAAGTAATTGTTGAAAATTGGTTAAAAAACCGATTACACTGCTTATTCTATATTCAAAATTTAGCCATCTTGGACATGAGCTTTTTCTCCATTTTATACTTTTTTTGTAACTCGATCTTTTGATTTGGTTTACTCTGCTTTTTTTTTCTGACATTACGGTTCTCTCCATGATCAGTTAGTGTAGATCGACTTCTTTTATCAAATTTTAACTCAACTTAGATTACAACTGTCTGATTTGTTTTGATCTGCTGGTGTTGATGAGATAAAAAAAATTTTTTAGGACAACGGAATAACATACTACGGATGCGGCAATTTAGGAGGACGCCGAATGAATCAGATGGAAGTAATAGCCAGGGTAATAAAATGGATATTTTCCAATTTAATTTACTTATTCATTAAAATCGCATTATGAGAAGCTTCTTTTTCACCTAGATGGCGCACCTTTAAAATTCTACTGGTTGTTATAAATTATGGATCTCTTATTGTATGATACTTCAGGTTTTTTTTAGTATCTAAGATTCGTCTAAGTTTGCCTGATTAAGTACAATCATCTGTTTACAGCACTCGTAATTATTTTGTTCATCTTTACTTTTGCTGATTACAGTACGTCCAGTTTTTTGAGGAAACACCTGTTCTTAAGTGATTGTTAAGAAAATGCATTGCATTTTGAAGTCGGAACCATTTTTTAATCTTCGACGGCGTTTTAAATTTGGGTTTTGATAACGGCTACTGCTGATTTTTTTGGTTTTACTTTATTAATGCGGTTGCTTGAGCAACTGACTGAAACAAAGCAAACATTGAGCTGTAAGTTTACTGTTCTAAGCTGGTCGTTTACGTACCGTTATTCGATGCTTTAAACATCTAACTTATAAATGCTTGAATCTTTCATATCGTTTTTTATTTTTCTGTCAGCCATTGATTAATGTTAGTGCTATGGTTACGCAGTGGGATGGCCAATTTCTCACATATTTCTGATATATCGTCGTAGAAACGTTGATTGCTGCAGATAATTTTCAGCTGGTATAAGTTGGAGGCATTTAATTCGACAACATTAGTTATCTGTTTTTCAAACAACTAGACAGTTTGCAGGCAGCATAAGAGTGTGGAAAGTTTTGATGTTGGTTGATGAATTTTTGTCTTTAAAAAATTACTCAGCTTTTTAACAGCATAAACTCAGTTAAGTCAACAACTCAGTGGATTGTTTAAAGCGAATAAAATTTTAACAATTCTTTAGGTGAGTGATTTCATTATGACCATTTTTAAATCAGCTTTATAGTCTGTTTAAAAGGCATGAGGATATTTATGAACAATTTTTTTTTTTT